AATAAGGCCTCTTGATAGCAACTAAGAAGTCTATTTGCTGGTAATAAACCACCTTCAGTGGGGGCTTTGGAAGGAATATTAGCAGCAGCAGCAACAACTCCGTGAGTAGTTTATAAAACTTTTCAATGTGTAATGATAATAAAATCACAGATTAAAGAAAACAAGAAGAAGCAGCAGCAATTCAGACCAAGAGGCTATATATAATAAAGATCAGCAAGCCTGCCAACAGAAAATACCTGTGGGCACCTTCCAAATCACCCACCCCATCCTCTCAGTACTTCAAACAAGATGGTTTGATGTAATTCCCAAAACGACAGCTCTTCCAGGGATGACAAGGCAATCTAATATTCCCCATTTCTTAACACTCCTGACGTTCAAGGAATGATGACAACTCAAACAGAATGCCTAAGGCTGGTTGACAAGGAGGATTCAAGTAAAGCAGTTACCAAACTTTCTTCCCCACCCCAACGCTGCATTGTAAGTCTTTAGTTTCAGAGTTGGCTTCTGATCTCACTTACACCAGGTCAACACCAGTATAATTCCACTGACGTTGACAGAGTTATTCCAGATTTATACTGGTGAAGAGGGAGCAGAATCAGGCTCTCATTATTCACGGCTGACTTGTTCATTTTGCAGAACTGCTGAGAATAGGTATGCTATGCTTCCTCACACTCAGACTAAGGTACAATGATAATACAGGTGACATCATAAGCTTTATCAACACGTCTCTCTTTTATATAGGAATCATCAGTTTAAAATGCTTGAATTTCCTCCTGATTTCAAAAAACATTTATGAAGACCAATTAAAAGGGTCAGCAGTGTGATGCTATCAGAATATCTATCATCTTGTCACAGACCTCTCCTCAGAGTGCCAGCAGTGTTCTTCCTTGTATCAAAGGAGCTGTGATTAATATTTTCTTATGTTTGCAATCTTGTTTTACAAAAGTCAATTGATTAATTTGGTTACACTCAGAACTGGTTTTGATAGGTGAGATAAGCTACAGGAATACACAATTCCAAATTACATATAAGTGGCAAGGAAACTTTCGTCTCATCCTGGATTGTTAGTGTTAAGTGTATGTTGTTCCTCATCTACCCACCTACCTCCACCCCCACAAAAAGAGAGCTTGATCTGGATTTTTCTACATTACCTCTATGTCTGCTAGGATCACTGCCGCTACTATCCATCTCTCTTTCTCTCTGCCTATGAGAGGAGTGTCAAACTTATTTTTGGCAGATGGCCAAATTCTATTTTTTATTGTGGTACATGACCAAAGTATAAATTTAAGACTGCATACTTGCCTCGATCCACCAAGGAATGCCCTGTGATGCCAATGAGGGGTTTGCACAAATATCAAGGACAGAATGTGACTTTTACATAGTAACTACACTTTTAGTTTATTTATGATTTATTAAGCACCTCATTGTCACATTCAGCTGGAAAACATATTCCTCTATAAGGTCACCACTATTTCCCTTCCTTCCTTCCTTTCTGTGTTTCTCTTCAATTTCTCTGACTTCACATGTCTTGTTTTTTCTTCCCTACGTATTGTCTTCCCTGCTGTAATTTTCAATTGCTCCCATCTCTCTGAGTTTTACTCCTTTTCTACCCGCTAAACTGACAAGCAATGAAATAGTTAATGCTTCCATTTAAAGTGGTGGTGGTTGGCTTCAGAATCAACACTCCAGCTTGACTGATGGAGCTGAGGGGTGCAGCAGGGTTGGTTCATGTCTCTTAGAGCCATTGTTTCAGGATCTCTTCAGGCTCAAGAAGACAACATTGAATTAGTGAACACTTTCTTCTCACTTGGAAGTTAGGTTCACTGCCAGAAAATCCAGAAACTTTATTTATTTATTCATTTGAAATGACTGCTTAGATTCTGAAGAATCTGCATCTCTCTGGGCCACCTAAATGCATCAAATGGACTGGATGCAGCATTCAGGCTGGGCATATAACATGACTGATCCATGATATTTTGACAGCATCTATTAAGTAGGTATTGAAATTACTGTAAATTCTGTAGTGTAAATGCAGTACTCTATTTTTATACCTTTCACTGTCTTTCACATAACAGAGCCAAGGTTATGGATTGAAGTCCTTATTGAGTGGCTCTGTCTCCAGGTCAGCTCAGCACGGCTGCCTTAAAATCCTGAAAAATTTTCAGAATGGTGTCTATGGATCTGAATCACAATTGCCCCACAGTCACATTACACTGACTACCCTGGCACAAAGTGATCATAAAGATACCGAGAATACCCACGGAATTGTCCTGGCATCAGGGGAGTCCTCGCGTAAGCATAGAGTCACCATAGCTGGCCACTCTCTGCACAGAAGCCTTCAATTCAGGAGACAAAGGGAGACTTGGTGTGGCATTCCTATGCCAAGGCTATTTCCAGTTGTTGGAGCAGCCTGTAGTGGGTGCTCAGTTTTCTGGGCGTGGGGGGAGGGGGAACAGAGGAAAATAATTTTTTTGAGGTAAGTAGATACTTACTGTAAAAATTTTAATTTTGTCCAAAAAAAAAAAAAGAAAACACTAACAATTTTCCATTGAAAAAAAGCTTTTGTGGCAATGTTGAGCAGTCTCCTGTACCATTCTTTTCTCTCCAAAAGCCTATAGTAAGGCCCTGTTCCTGCAAACATGAGAAACTCAGGTCAATGGGATTATATATACAAATTAAATTGTGCATGTAGTACTTGTGAAATTGAGGCCTAGTTAAATTTAAATGTAAGATTTTTGATTTGATTTAGCTTCTGAGAGATTTTTTGCAGAGAAATAGGATTAGTTTGTTTTTATATCTGCCGGTTTTAATTCTTGACAGTTAGACAGTGCTATTGTTTTAAACAATACCTATTGTAGAGTGGGGGTGTGACTCTGAGTCACTATTCAGCCCTGCTCCCCATTTGCTCCAGGGGACAAGTAAACTGCACCAGCAATGTACCAAGTGCAGAGTCAAGACTGTGCCCACTCCCTTTTCCAGCATGCCCACTCCCTGCCCACTTTTGTGGGACAAGGTAGAGCAGCTCTGTGGAGGTACAGGGTACCTTATGCTCATGCTTACCTATGTTGTTGCATATAATCCTGCCCCAAATCATAATTTTAATACTTTGTACTTATATAGCACCTTTCATCTAAGGATTTCAATGGATTGTTTTACAGATAGCTGGGGAATCTGCAGCACAGACAAAGTTAGTTTTGGCATGTGAGGATGGTATTTATGTGAAAATTGGTCCTTTGATTTCTGTCTGTATTTTACTAACTCCTTGTATATGTGTCTGCAATGTGCGGTAGATGCATTTTTTAAAAAGAAATTGAAATATATGAATAAACAAATAAAAATAAGGGCCAGATTGTGATGCCATTACTCATATTGAATATTACTTTACCCACAAATAATCCCATTAAGCTCAATGATGTAAGGTACTATTCAGTGTGAATAAGGTTATCACAGTTTTACCCGAAGAGCTTTGATCACACAAAGCCCAAGAACTACACTGTACCCACTCCCACTATAATTTCTTGGGCCTAATCCACTGTGGGGATAAGTACTTTCTACTCTGATTAATTTCAACAGAGGTTCAGGGGGCTCAGCAGGTTTGGGGATCAGGCCCTTATTTTGATATAAAGTGCCAGGGTGCCCTGATGATAGGCACGTCTACCAATTTTCTAAACACAAACAGTAAAACTGTTAAATTTTAGTGCCTATTTATTTCAATGCAAAATCAGATTGGTCACCTATTTGCATTAAATTATTTTCACGCTCTCAGTCAGCCTCTCCTTTGGAGTTTATTACTGGAAATATTTGCTGTAAATTCATTTTTGCTGACCAGCAGATCTGGCAAAATTACTTTACAGCAATACTGAGATTACTTCCAGGCTACAGTGATTTTCAAGTTTTTAAAAAATGTTGTAAATAAGCACCTGCCTGTTATGGAAGGAACAGTTCTAAAAATTATTATTTACTGTTTTGTTGAGCACTTGATCTAAAATCCATTAAAATCAATGGGATTCCTTCCACTGACCTTGATGGGGCTTTGGCTCAGGCTCAAACAGTGCTCCGTGCTGTGCAGAGCATACAGTAACACATGGTCTCTATCAGAAGGAGTTTACAATCTGACACTCCAATACTGAACATATATACGCACACGTAATACTATATGCATATGAGTAATCCCAATGAACCCAGTAGGACTACGCAGTCATAGAAAGTTATTTACGTGGATAAATGTTTGAAGGATTGAGGCCTAAGGCCCAGATCGTACTTGCATTTACATCTGCACTCCATGGAATTACATTGATTTGGGCTCTTCACAATAGGGACTTTTATTTCGTCTAGTGGGATTACTCATATAAATTAGTTTTTTTCACATGGCAGTCTTCGGTTAGAAAATTCCACTGACTTCAGTGGAACTATCCCTGGCAGTAAGCAGTACAAATATATTTAGTTGTCAGTTTAGATCTTCAGGGCTAGAGCCTGTCCTGGATTTTGTTAATCCAGTTCGATCGCTATGCTCAGTAGCATTTGTAGGATCAGGCCTTTATAGTGTAAGCCCTTTGGCACAGGGACTTTGTGTATGCTGTATAAAGTGGGGGCATATTGTTATCACTACATAAATAAATAATGAGGAAATAGTAATCAGCAATTTGAATCTTTTTGTAATAATTTCGGAAAGGGTGGCTTGCTGGATCGCTTTGGTGCTTTGTATTGTCAGAGCAGGTGCCCTGACCTTCGCCAGATGACTTAGTGGGTGAATTCTGCTATTTTTAAAAGGGAGAGGTGGCTCCCCTGCGGCTCCTCCTGCACATCTGGCCCTGGAAGGGTCGGCACAAAGACAGCTGGCAGCACCAGCTGTTCCACAGCGGTCTCCACCACCCCCTCCGCTCCAGCAGACTATAGCTCCGCCCTCTCGTTTGCATAACGCAGCGTCATCATTAAGCGTCTCTCTTCCGCGGCTGCGCCGAGGAGGCGGGCGGAGCCAGAGCAGCGAAGGCACAGCACGGATGAGGCGCATGCGCGGTGCTGGACGGCGCTGGAGCTGCGGGCCCGGCGCGGGCTCGCGGAGGGGCCGGGGGGCAGCCGTTGGCGGAGGCGAGGCGGCGTGCGGCTGGCGGGGCCTGGCGGGCGGCTCGCCGCAGCAGCTGGCGGAGCGATACGCGGACTTGGCCGCCAGCCACAGCGAGGCGGTGCGGGCCCGCGAGGAGCGGGAGCGCCAGAACGTGCGGCTGCGGGACGAGAACGCGCGGCTGCGGCTGGAGAACCGCCGGCTGAGGCGGGAGAACCGCAGCCTCTTCCGCCAGGCGCTGCTGGGGCCCGGCCCGGAGCCCGACGCGCCGCCCCGCCCGGGCTCCGCCCCCGAGCAGCAGCAGCAGGAGGAGGAAGCGGCGCTCGCGGGCCAGCTGCGGCGGCTGCAGGAGAGGCACCGCCGGGCCCTGCAGCAGCTGCGGCGCCGCCGAGCCCAGGACGGGCTGGAGGAGGACGGGGAGCTGGACGAGCTGCTGCGGGAATTGGACGGGGAGCAGCAACAGCCCCCAGGGCAGCAGCCGCCGGAGAAGAAGAGCCTGGTGCCGCCCCTATAACCAGGGGGAGGCTGACGGGGCTCCGCAGTGGTTTGGGGACCCCCCCACTGCCAGATCACTGGGGTGAGGAGCCCCTATCACTCTCCAGCCCCCCTTTGCTACCTGAGGCGGACCCAGCTGGCTGCACTCTGGGGCCGCCTCACAGCGGGGCTCCTCTGCCCCACAGGTTTTTGGGGTCCCAGAAGTAGGCACGGGAGCTTTTTGCAGGAGAAGCCACAGCATCTGGAGGAGGCCCCAAGGAGCCCCACGTCGCAGGAGGGAAAGGGCCTCACAGCAGCAGGTGCCTCGTGCCCTTGGATGTTGAGGAGAAGTTCGTCCTAGAGGGAGAAATGGATTCTGGACTTTGCCGCCTCCTGGCATTGCCCTGTCTGCCTTCTCTGCTTTGATTTGGACCTGTGTGTCTAGTTATCTTTGTGCAGGAGTGAACAAATCTCATAGAGGCCATAATAGCCCTGTAGATGACCCAACAATGGCACATTTGTTAGCCTGCTACTAGGTTTTAGTACCCATGTATATCAGTTTAAAAAAATGAAAAGTTTGTGTGCCAGATTTATTTTGACAGCACTTTAAATGAAAGCTGATAATCCTCGGAATCCTTCTGAATTGGTTGGATATCATCTGCAACTCCATTCTCTGTATATCTTTGACTATTGCTTTGTTCATCCTTGTCTGTTGCATAATTGGTCTAGACATGGCACTTCCAATTCATAAAACTACAGGTCATACTAAATAAATCCTTGACACACCAAAATGCTTCTACTAGATGTGATTTGTAATATGCAGTTGAATATAATATATACATTATTTGTTTTATACTGTAAATAGCTACTCTTCAAAGTTCTTAAATTTTGGTACTGAGGTTTTTTCAAAATTCTAAGAAACAAGCTACTCAATCTTTCTGTTTTAAGTAAAAACTATTTTTTTCACTTACATAACGGAAACTACTTTAATTTTTAGTTTCTATTTGCTGTCTGAAAGACCAACTTTGTAAACATATAAGAGTAACATTATTTGCATCAGTAGTCCCATTGCCTTTAGTAAGATTAATCAGATGAGGAAAGTTAGTGTTGGATGCCACTGTTTGTGGGATGGGTCCCTAAAACTTAATTACTAAACTTTTGACTGAGATAAGGTGGTATTTATGTAACCTTTAATAAAAAAAAAAAAAAAAAAAAAACAATAATAAAACACCCACACAACTTCAAACTTTGTTTGGAGTTAGATGTATTTATGGGAAAAGAGGAATACTTGTACCAACTTCACTATTATTGTTTTATATAATTGAGGTTTAAAATAGTCTGTGTAGCGTCCAGCATATAAATTTAATTGTGATATAAAATGTACAGTATCATTTGTTAAACCAATATCAATGCATAAAAAGCATTTTAATTTTTAGGGGAATATACCTGTTTAATGTGATAGGTCTAAAGAGCACCTCTGCTATGCAGTTCATCTTGCTTAGTCTTTAATGGGAATTCTAGAATGTCAGTTTCTGAATGTCTTGTTTGCTCACTAGGTTGAAACTACCCTTGCTAGCCATTTTAAATTGGCTAATAAAAGTATATTAGTGAACTACAATGGGTACAAAAAACCAGTGACATGTCCAAATGTGTTTTCTATTTAAATAAAAGTTACTGTGTTCTGACCATTCCCAATAAAGTAGATGTATAAACTGAAAATGAAAAGAGGGATTTAGAAAGAAAAATGCCCAAGCAACTTGTATGGTTTAGCAGAATAATAGTATAATATAGGCTTACAGTACTTGAGTAGATGACCTTTTAATGCCCCTTCCAGACCTACGTTTCTATGATTCTGTGAGCGTGTGTTGTTGCAATATAAAGGTGGAAAACATCTGAACACAGAAATTATTTCTTAAGAAAAAATATTGCTGTAGGCATTAGGGCCCTGATTCCATGATTTCATTCAGTGCTCTACAGTTTATTCATAGCATGTTCCATTTTGAAGACAGTCAATCAAATCAGATATTGCAGCTTGTAGATGTCAGATACAATGAGGGCAGTTAATTATTGCCTTAAAGGAAGGTATCTAAATATTATAGATAAGTTTATATAGCTGATGCATACTTTTTAAGAGATTTAATGGATAAACAAAGTGAACTCAAACAGAAGGATCATTGGTTCTAAAATGTAATATGTATGTCTGGCCTGCAGCTTAGAAAGCTCAAACAAAATTCACCCAGGAGCTTCTGTTCTAGTGGGACTCAGATTCATACTAGCGGTCTGCTGAAATATATAAGTCTTTCAAGCATTATTTAACATTGGTACACTCAAGGGTCAAATTTTTAGTTGGTATAAATTGTTATTGACTTCAGGTCAGTTATGATAGTTTACACTAGCTAAGGATCTACCCCTGTGTGTGTGTGGTTTTTTTTTTTTTTTTTTTTTTTTGTCTCTTGCTATTAGAACACTTTGGCTAAAGATTGATGAAAAGGTGACTCCTGTTGGATTACCAGGATCACTAAGAGCTGCACGAGCAGGCCCATAACAATTTTCAATATTAAAATTATCCTTTAATACCATAGCAACAGTAACTTGTTTCTGGCTTTAGTGCAATGTAATGTACATTAAAATCCTTGTGGTCATCACAGGTACAAGAAAAAATTTGATAATGTTTTTCATGTTAGAACTCACAGCATCAAGACTTTAAGGTGATGGGAAGGAATGTTAGTTTTATAGAATACCTAACCTTCCCTCTTTCTAAACTTGCTTGGTCTTTCTGTTTTGATCCTCTTAGTTCTATATCTCTGGTTCTGCTCTCACTCTCAGTAATTCAGACATTAGATGTCTACTCAGGACCAGAAATCATAGTTGTCCTAGACCTTACATCTTTTACTTCCTTCAACTCCCATGTTTAAGTCTATCTATCACTGTCTCCAGAGCATTCCCGGTGTTCATCCTTCTTTTGATCTACTTGCTGTGGAATCCTTAGTTGTCTTTTATTGCGCCTGGCGTTGGCTATTGCACTTCCACATTTATGTTCTTATTGAATACCTGCTCTTTTACTAAGGTTTGTGGTTTTTTTGGTGGGAGGGGGAGGGGTTGCAGAATGTGGTCTCCAACCTACTTTCTGTAAATAAAGCTGTACCATCCCCATTTTCTCCTCATCTTCACTAATTTATTTTTCAAAAAAATTGCCCTCCTGGTTTTCAAAACTTGATTATATATCCTTCTAGTTTCCTTTCCTCCATGACTCCCTCAAGTATTTGGTGGGCAAAGTTGCTTTCTCATTTTGGTTGCCATAATAATCTAACTCCCTGTATCAGTGAATCACTTCCCTCTTTTTAAATCCCTCTTTAGAACAAAACACACACACACTCTTTTTTTTGGCTGCCTTATGATTCACACCTAGTATTTTGTAGTACCATGTATGAAGAATTTAGAGGAAAATCAGACTTCTATAATCGTAGGGATTTTTCCCATACTTATTTAGGCGTCTTCCTGTTTCTCTGTAAATATTGATCAGAATTAATAATGAACTTGATTATTCTAGCTAAATGATAACTTTATTAAAACATGCGTTCTACAAAACTTGAAAGAGAAATTAGGTTATTTTAACTCATTTGTTGAAATATCCCACTTCATTTGGAAAAATGAAAACCTTTAGATCTGGGTGTAGATTTGCCATCTCCCATCGTAACTAATGAAAAAAAGTCTCGTTTCTTACATGAACATTTAGCCTTCTTATCTGTGGACTGTTCATTATCCATCTCTCTTGTGGCCCCTCTTCATTTCTCTAGCCTCACCTCCCCCAAAAAATTAAGTGGATGATTCAGCAGAAGCTATATCCATACCGATATTAAAATCATTTTTGGGATGTGTGTGTGTGTGATGGCAATTACTTTAAAACACATGCATATGAACAGAATATCTCAAGTGTTGGTGCGATAGTTAATATACATTCTACGACTCTTCTGAGACCTAATTTAAGTTTTATTAAGTATTGCTTTCTGAAGGAGCCTTTGTCCGCTACACTCATCTCCTTGAATATGTTAAGGCTTTGGGGTGCTTTAACTTGCCCACAGAGTATAATGAAATAAATTAAATATCTTGGTGAAAAACTATAGCAGTTCAGATTAGTTTAGTTCACCTACCCTCCTATGAAAGCAGTCATCTGTTACTCTTCCCTTTTCACAATCTTCTCTCCTGTATCAATTTCTTTGTACTTACAAATTAATGGTGTAACTAGGAAGTAAGCTATATGGAAAGTCACTGTTCAAACCAGACTGCTGAAAGTGGTGGTTTAAAATTAAAATATGGGCTTGGAGCTTTGTGAGTTGCGATAAAGTAATTGTGTGCCTATACAGTTACTATATTCTACTGCTCCCTATGAAACTCCTTTCCCAAAAAATCAGACCTTGTTAGAATGTAAAATAGTAATATGCCAAAATTAAACCTTTTGTTTAAATTTTTGCTACTAATGTTTCTCCTTGACCAGTTCTGCTGAATCCCTTGCTCATTGTTCTGCCTACCATCTTCATGCATACCAGACCAGGACTGAGCTAGAATAGCAGAAGATAAAAAACTAGAAGAGTGATGAGAGGCTGTAGAGAGATTGTTGGAGGAGTGACTATGCAGGAGGAGGAAGGGGTCAGTGACACAGCACAAAATGGGTAGCATGAGCAGTAAGGGAGAGAGCATAGTTTAGTTGCAGAGCTCAGAAAAAGAACATAAACTTAAATGGGAAAAAGTGTCAGCAGCTGGGAAAAAGTACTTTGTCATGCGCAACACAGGTGTGGTGTGCAGTGACTGCACGCTCCTGAAGGAAAATCCATTACAGCAAGAGCGTAGTTGAGTCTTCATACCTATGTAGGATGGGATCCACAAAAGTTCTTAAGTGTCTAAACCTTGGATGTAGGCACCTAAATCCTGGTTTTGGCTCCACTGTGATCCATAAAACTCTTGCCAATCCTTTAAGCACCAAGTGAGTTTAGGTGCCTAAAGTTTTTCAGGGTAAAAATTTCATATACACCTATGTTTCAGTCTCTGGGTATGCACACTGCTGCCTTCCTCTAGTCTTCCTGGGTACATATCTTCCACTAAGCCCTAGAGTGAGCCACAAACAAGGGGAAGGTAGGCATTTGGTGTGTTTTCAGGGTGCCTACTAAATTGGGTCCCATTCAAAATACAGCTGGAGAAGGAGCGGCCCACCTTATAACTTATAGCCAAGAGGTGAGAGCACTCCCCTGGGATGTGGAAGACCCAGTCAATTCCCCCTATTTCTGTCAGCAGACAAAAGAAAGGATTTGAACGGGGTGTCCTACCTCTCAGGAAAGTTCTCTACCTACTGAGCTATGGGATGTTTTGCTGTGGTGCTCCCTCAGTCTCTCCTGTTGAAGCTCTTGTGGAAAATTATGAAAGAGCAGGGGGACTGGACCCAAAGTCTCCCACCTCCCAGGTGCATGCCCTAACCACAGGGCAACAGAGTAATTCCCATTCTCTCTGGTCCAATGACTAAATATCCACAGTGGAACAGTCATTGGGCTTGATGCTTGGCATTACAATGCCTATGTCCTTTTGTGGATCCCATCCCTAGTCCCTAGCATTGGCTGAGACTATTAGCAATAGCATTCATTAGGACCAATTACTTCAGATGAAATTTGTGTGGATAGCAGGCTTAGCAGCTCTCCTACAAGTGCTGTAGACCGTGAGTGGGTAGGACCTTTTTTTAATGACCATATGGGCAGGACCTCTGTTTTACATCCTTTCTGAAACTTGGCACCTATTTTAGCAC